TTGACTAATACTGAGACTATATAATAAGACTGACTGACATGTAACATACTGGCTATGTAATAAACTGACTAATACTGAGACTATATAATAAGACTGACTGACATGTAACAGACTGGCTATATAATAAACTGACTAACACTGAGACTATATAATAAAACTGACTGACATGTAACAAACTGGCTATATAATAGACTGACTTGTAACGAAACTATATAATAATCTGACTAATAATGAGATTATATAATAAGACTGACTTACATGTAACAGACTGGTTATATAATAGACTGACTAATAATGAGACTTTATAATAGACTTACTAATAATAACACTATATAATAAGACCACTGACCTGTAGCAGACTGACTATATAATAGACTGACTAATAATGAGACAATACAATAAGACTGACTGACATGTAACAGACTGGCTATATAATAAACTGACTAACACTGAGACTATATAATAAAACTGACTGACATGTAACAAACTGGCTATATAATAGACTGACTTATAACGAAACTATATAATAATCTGACTAATAATGAGATTATATAATAAGACTGACTTACATGTAACAGACTGGTTATATAATAGACTGACTAATAATGAGACTTTATAATAGACTTACTAATAATAACACTATATAATAAGACCACTGACCTGTAGCAGACTGACTATATAATAGACTGACTAATAATGAGACTATATAATAAGACTGACTGACATGTAATTTATTGACAAATATGACTGCCATAGAGCTTTCTTGAAAGTGTTTTTCTATTCATTGACATTCTCTTGTGAACAGGAAGTTAGTTGTCGCCATATTTGTCAATTGAAAATGAATGGAGACAATAATGCGTTTCTTCATTTCATCACTATTGGTGAATATTAAAACAATATCCAAACAGTATCTAAACATTAAAGATTTTGTCAAAATACAGAAAAAATATAAAGTTTCGTTTTGCCTTTGGTTTTAATGATAATGCTAGCGTGCTTATTCACGAATTTAATGTAATCACCAGTCACGACACGAAATAAAAATGATTGCGAACTTAAAATGCTTATTGTCATGAATAAGTTTGTAAACACAAAATGTTTGAATGTATGAAAAAAAACAAGGATTCAATGTATATTATGATTGGCGAACAGGCATTTAAACACATGTACTTTTGATGTGTTTATGTCTGTGGCAATCAACTTTCGCGACAGAAAAGTTAGACGTTGACATTTCCTTTTATCCAGACAGACATTTCAGATATATCACATTGCCGAGTATTGATCACCTTTGTTACCGCCCTAAATTAAAACATGCTGTGAAGTGTAAGAAAACCAGAATTACAGACAAAAAGCTCCTTATATAATGATTCTGATGATAATGAATCTTTTCCTATATCGTATGTGAAGGTATTTATGGTTATAGAATATGTGACGTAATTCATGATGTTTAAAGTATTTGACGAGATTTACATAGTTTCTCAGGTTACAAAATTATATTAACAGTGTATTTTGTAGTCAATAGGGTTATATACCTACCATTAAATCCTTCTACTGTGATATTTTCCAACAAAAAAAAATGCTTCCTAAATCTCTACAGAAACATTCGTCAGCTTTCCCAATGCTACTAGCAAAACTTCAGTCTCCTTACTATACCTATCCCAACCACATTTGGTGCTACCACAAATGAAAATTCCAGCAAGAAAACTGCCAAACAAAAGTCCGCCGAGCAGCAAACCCATGATCTTAAACGCTCGAACAAGTCTTATATGTGCTTATTAAATCAGTAATATGTCTTAGTTTGTATCTAGATGATCCTGTTGTATATGAGACGTACACACAAATGCAAACTTTGGAAAGTAAATATGAATAACGAAGGGATTTGACGTACAATGCTTTTAATGGTCACTTCCTCGTGGTGTGTCATCAAATAGAATGATTTCACTATTCAAAAGGACACACAGGTGTGTAAATACAGCATGAGTCACGAAATAGAACACATATATACTATTTGCTTGGAGCGTTGCTCTTCGTTACCGTCAAGGTCAACTAAGGACAACATTTGTAAACACAACCCACGAGATTTCGTTCCCCTTTTTAACGGTTTACAATATCATGTTCCTGTTGCCTTGATGCCGCTGCGTCACAGACTAACATGTCATGCATTAATCAAGACATTTGTCTCAGTCAGATAGCTGATAATTATGAAAGGCTCCATTTATCTGATTTATTATTTGTCTTGTGTGTAGTTTTGATAGCACAATGACAGATCCTGGATAGAACTACACACAAGACAGAGAGTTGTTATTGCGTTTGGAGTACAAGTTGACGTGCATAGCTGCTGCCGAAATACAGGAAACATACTCTCTGTTAAAGAGTTCGAATTATCTGTCTTCTGGTTTCGTATTTGAAACAAATGTTTTGAGTGACATACCCTAATTTTTCATCATTGCTGATTATTTTTCAGAGACGTATAGACGGCGACACCTACTTTTATAGAGGATTTGACGAATATAGAGACGGCTTTGGTGACGTTAACCACGAGTTTTGGTTAGGTAAATTTTCAATAAGATCAACATCTTAGTTCTATGCTACCATTGCAACGGATTATTAGTTAAAATGTACATGCGTGTATGTACACTGTAGTGTCAACATGATAGTCGAGATATCTCATGATTTGTAACAAAACATATTTCCCAATCAAACATACAAAATATAATTGTTCTCTGTACAGGAGGAGCAATATTGTGTATACGTATGTACTAAACAATTGTATTATAAATCAACATCACTCAGTGCCTCTGTTGCTGGGAAATACAGAAATGTATACATTTTATATATTTTTGTATTATATAGGGCAGATCTTAAAATGAATTTTGAACTCGCTACTAATGCTATTTCCAAGCAGTAACTATATCTTTGTACTCTCCTTGCAAGGAAACGAACAATTGCACGCCCTCCTGTTCGGAGGTGAAAATGAACTGAGAGTTGACATGGAGGAATCAAAAACAACAATGCCTATGCCAAATACAACCTCTTTGACTTTGGGGACGCCGCAAATAAGTACCGACTGATATATCGGGGTTTTCAGGAAATACAGGTAACCCAATTATTCTGAAATATCTACGTTTGCATCCTAGATGCGTCGATTACGGATTAAACTTCTTGCATATTAATCAAAATATGCATACGCCAATTTTATGTTGTTTAGCTGATTCAGATATATATTTGTGCTCGAAAATTGGTATATACAATTATTGAATGCCACAAAAAGCATACTTACACTGTATATCGCATGGGGATACACTGTGTTTGCAAAATGCTTTGAGTATTTGTTTGAAATTTAAGTCATTTAGATTATTCCCTTCTCAAGATGTCGTTAACAAAATTCGATAGAATATCAGCATCATTTCTAGACTCGTTGTTTGAGGGATTATCGACAAGATCTTCCATCTTCTCTTTTTTGTACTAATAATCAAGGTAGCTACCTGTTTAAGACTTAACACAAATGTCTAGCAAAATCACCATTTGAAATAATACAAATGTGGAAATTCGACAATGCGATATGATACATGTAATATGTATTTTGTAACAGTTTATTTTAAATTTTCACTTATCACGTTTTTGCCTTGAAAGAATGATAAAGTCGACTGATAAAGAGTTAGAAGGATGGAAAATATTCAGTCACATGGTACATTCATCACATGAGCTTACAGGTGTAGGGGTAACGTAAACAGGCCTGAATAGTAGAAAGTATGAGATGCTAGAGGCACGGTAGTTTAGTGGTGGGACGCCGGGCTTGTGACCGAAGAGTTACGGGTTCGAGTCACGACACTATGTTGTATCTTTGAGCAAGACACTTTACTCTACTTGTTCCAGTCTACTTAGCTGTAAACGAGTACGTGGTTTGGTAGTGCTATAATTGGAGAATGCTAGCTGTGAATGCCGAAATGGCAGCACCGGCTGTATGCTCACCAGAGAGTTGAGAAAGATATTGGCTGGTTGCAAAGTCCCTATTACCAAGGATAATAATTTGTGAACCGCTTTGAGACGACCTACGAACTAGGTTGTGATAAAGCGGTATATAAGAACGTCGAATTATTAATATTATTATGATCGAGATGTAATATCCCATTAGTATTAAACCAGCAACCTTGCTTAATTGTCTTCACTCTGTATGTGATTGGCGACGAAATGTCTGTATAGACTTAAATTAGTCAAACACACAAATTATCTGCTTACTGCAATTGTCGGGGATTTTATTAAACTATTCATTGATCCAATATACGTTTTAGATAAATATCATTTGCTCTCTTTATTATTTGTATTGAATATAAAATAACTTTTTTTTAGGCGATTCCATGACACGTCATAACGGCCGTCCATTTACCACAAAAGATAAAAATAATGGAGATTCACCCATCTGTGCTGTTCTATATCATGGTGCCTGGTGGTATGACTATTGTCATGCCTCCAATCTGAACGGGCTCTACCTATCCGGCATTACTTCTACATTTGCCAACGGAATAGTATGGCGTAGCTGGAAGGGATATTACTATTCACTGAAAAGTACATAAATGATGTTTCCAAGGTTGGCAACAGCATAAAGTTGAGCAATAAACCCTTAGAGTTGGTGAAAAGAAGACTTGTTTTTGGTGTAGAAAGTGTTCTGTGAAATGTACATTTTATGATGATAATTATCTCAATCGAGAATCATTTAACTTGTTACTACATAACAATGTTAATTTAGTTTGGCTTGTAAAATATCATTGGTATCCGGTTTATTTTTTAAAGATAACCTTACATGATACTGTCAGTATGAACGTTTTATAATGTCGGTTATCGAATTACTATCGATATTCCTAACTCATTCCGTTATAACTATTCCTGACGCCGCTGTAATGTTTGTCAATGTAATCATTTTTTTTTAAATATTTAAAGCATTTCAGTTTGTCAGGTTGATTTAGAAGTGGATATGTACAATAAAACGCTTATAATGTTCAGGGCTTTATTTTGGCCATATTCGTATTAAGACTAAAATTAAACTATTTTGAACACCAGATACATCCCAGGATGTTCACCTTTTAACGGATGTTTTCGCTACTTGCTGCAAATAAATCCAAACACCGTTAGACGTAAGCTAAAGTATGTAGTTTAATTAATGCGATACATATGTCACTGACCTACTTACACCAACTTACATACCTGCCTGTGCGAATGCCTTCTTCACTACACAAGATGTTCCAAGTGCAGGTATTGCTGCAATTCGCTAGACAACAGACAATGCATGTGAAATCAAAATCAAAAGCAAAAAATAGACCATAACATTTAAATGTGAACACTGTAAGAAAATCGAGCAAACTTATTGGTTATAACTCACCCCTACACTTTAACCACGTTCACGTTTTAAAGTATACTTAACTGTGTACGGTCTCTGTCCAAGGCACATTTACACCGTATAAGCTGGACCATAGTGACATATCTTTATTTCAGTCACGTTTGACACTTGACGAAAATAGTGTGTCCAAAACTCTCAAGCTCCACATACTTTAAAGCGCATTGCAACGCACACTGAACTAATATTTATTCAAAACGTTTACCCCCGGTAATATGTTCTCACTTCAAAACTGCACACATTTTAATCGCTATACATTAGTATTCTCTTATAATCGAGAATTAAAACTCCCACAAAGAGATTTAAGGGTTAATGACCCTACCAGTACTGACACGAATTCTGCTTTACAATACTTATTTTTTCATTTATGCATGCGTATGTAACTTTTCTCTGATCAGGTGACAATAGTCCATACGATAAATTATAGGTAAAATATTTCAAAGAACTTTTAGTTTTCATAGTGCTGCCCACCTTACACTAGTTGTACTTTACAGCTTAGGTTCGACTCCGTAGCAGAGGTTAGTTGACTAGTAAGGCAATAACTTCAGTAAAATATGTTCTGAAAGGTTTTAAGAACAAAAGTTGTTAAATCAATAGTCTCTGGAATATAATGTCATGAATGGCGTAAGGTAGAAGTTAATATTACTTTCAAGTTATAAGCTTGAAAATTGTGATCGTTAAAAAATGAGAAAAAAGAATGAAATGCAAATCAATACATGTTTTGTGGATTTTTTTGTTTTCCCATTAAATGTGTCTTGCGATTGTGAGAATGTCTCCACATTTACTACAGGCGTATCAATGCAGCCGCCTTAATTACAGTATGTTTGATTTTCCAAATGAAAAACAAATATAACATTAATGCATCTAGTAATAAACTAATACATTTCCTGCTAAAAATATGGAAAAACCCAAACGATATAACGTCTTTAAATATGGTCATCTCACAAACCGTAGCTATTTGATACCAACAAAGAAGACGGACACAAAATAAAAGGAAAATTGTACAAGTGTAAAAACAGTTGTACTGTAAAACGTCTCCATTGATAAAGGACATCAAATGCGTTCTGGTGTAATGGTGTCTTAATTCGAGCATTGACCATTCAAATTGTCTTTTAAAAGTTTTCAGCGTTTCATATTGATTGTGTGACACTTCATATAACATACAGATAACATAAGAGGCCACTGATCGGCGAGTCTGTTTATCCGATATGAACATGACTTACTGCTACATTTTGTTTCCGACGCACTTTTTCTTTGATGCAGTTTCCACCTGAAATCCGTGCGGAACAAATTAGAAATTAGACATGGGAAACTGACTTAAGCACTTCAAAACTTCATGACAACGAAGCATACTAGCAGTGCCTGTAACATAGATCCCGTGTATATACTGAAGACACACACACAACTATAGAATATATTACAAATATTCACACAATATGCATGTCTGTGTCCATCGGAAAGAATAGCAACAGGATATAAGAGTATACGTGGCGTTTCTCAGAGGCATATCTTTGTGTCAAACCTTTGTTATTGTATCATATTATGTTTTATAACGTCATATGTATGTTTACACAGTTATTTCACAAAGAAATGGTCTTGCGTCTATTCCATTGGAATTTATCCACTCAAAAGTATTCTTTCTCAATCTGATTGAACGGAACTTTCTTGGGCTACCAGACATCCAGAAGAATAAATTCAGGGTGCTTCCATCCTCATACGAGAACAAATCATCCCGATCTTCAGACAAACCTCCTATATACACCGAGTATAAAGGACGGGAATCTGCAACATATAAAAATAAAATCAGTACAATTAAATACTGTTAAACTTCATGAATATTTATTTTCGGGTTTATTTGAATTCCCAGAGTGATGCAGAAGTGAAATAGTTCATAAAAATACTTATCAAAATCATCATAATCCACGAGACAATTCCACTGTTATTACAAATTTACACAAAAATAATAATTCGACAAACAATCAAAATAACAGCGGGCTATTGTCAAACTGACATAAATGCTAGCTTTTTCGAATTCTTCCTTTCGAAATTATGTTAAGGAATTCCATTAGAAATTATAATAAGACATACAGTACTATTGATTAATTATTAAAGAAAGAAGTTACAGAACATTGGAGTATTAATACACCTCTGCATTTGAAAACAATTCAAACGTGGCCACATAGATACTGTATTTTAAACACGGCGTTAGTATATCAAAATAACCACGGTATTGTAAAGGCTACCTTAACATTATTTATTGACTTTTGGTTACAGTGTAAGTGCACTGATAGCAGACAGCTTAAAGCAGCTGACACTAAATTATGCATCAGTTATGTTGTAATACTCACTTAGGAATTCAGCTATATGAGCCTGTTTTTCAACTGTATTGATCCTCAGCATCAGTCCACCGACAGAGCAAAACAACAATGCTTCAGAAACGTTGGCTTCATCTGTCTGTAAATGGTAGCACATATTCAGGTTCCGTTTGTAAAAGTAACCAAGAGCTGTTGGGCAGTTGCCTGTGAGAATAAAGGAAACCATTGATGAGGATCTAGATAAAAACAATATGAAATGAGATGTAAAATAAATTTAAAATGCAGTCGAAATCATATAGGGATAAGGATTAACCAAAGTTTTACAAATGTGTGTCAGCTGAGCTATCGACATATGTGGTTGTTT